CTCTGCTGTTAGTGTGTTGTTGCACTGCAGTTGGGAGTACACCTTGGATGGTTCTTTGGAGAACAGGGCATTTATCTTCATGGTGTCTGCTTCTCTATCCAACTCCTTAGCCTGGTAGTCAGTGCTGTGAGCCTTTGTTTAGCGGTCTCTAGGGCTTCAGATGGAGTCAGGCCCTTGTATTTTCCCAGTAACTAAATCTTATCCTTTTAATCTCCACACCCTTCTGTAGTTCCATCAGCTGACTAACTTCTCCCCAAGTTGCCTTGATCTTAACCTCAAACCTCATTTTCCAGGAGGGTATGTACTGCTGTTCTTAATCGTGTAGCCAAGCATCTCAAGGATTACAGCAGCTGTAGCGGATACCAGTTCATTGGTTTGAGTTATGGTGGTAGTAGGGATTGTCATGAGAGCTCTATTGGCATCTTCTAGCATACTATCTGATGGTACTTCTCCACTGATTCTTGGTAATTGGTCTCAAGGGTTGACTATAGTTAGTTTATCCATGATCTTATGCCTCATATCAGCTGCTGTGCTCTGTAATGGGGGCAGTGACATTCCAGCTTCAGGTTTTGGCTGCACATCTAGTTGTTCTTCTGGAATGGAATGTGTTGTTAGTCTATCTCAAGTTGTGAGAGCAGCTTCCTCTTCACTATGTTGAAGCATTGGATAACCAGCTGTTTCTCAATGTGGATTTAGGTCTTCTGTTCATCCGTAGTTCCCTAACAAGTTTCATATATCTCCTGTCATTAGGTCTACTGATGTAGTAGCATTCTATCCATTCCAAGTTCCCTTGTCCATGTATGGTTTGTTCCAGTAGCCCACTTATCATCAGATTGTCCTGGTTTCCCAACATCTAGTGTGGACCTTGTTAATCCGGGCGACGTCCAAGCCGGCATAAATCTCTTAGTTCGTGTCACTGTCAAATCTGAGATAGGCAGGTGAAGCATTAGGTGGTCTTTGCCCAAGGACCTCTACTGGTAAGGTAGGTACCAGCCACGATTTGAACCCCGGTCTCCTACATCAAAGGGTGGTGCTCTAATCATTACACTATCCAGTCGCTGTCTCTCAGTCCAAGCCTGGAAACTTGAGAACGATCTATGTACCAATCTGAAGTGGATTGGTTTGAGCTGATGTGTGTGTGTATATATGTGTGTGTGTGTGTGTATACACATATACACATGTACATATACATATACATGCATACTTACATGTATGTAGGTATATGTATATATAATATATATTA